TAAAGGCAGAATAATTGCGACCAAGTACCTTCATTCTTTCTATTTTTTCTGACATTTGCGGCGTAAAAACCAGAGTTACCCTATGATATTATCAGAGATGAGAGAAGTTTAATATGTACTTAAAAATCCGAAAAATCAAATCCAACTGTTGTTTTTCAAAATACATGTAGGATTCAAAGTCATTTCGTCCAGGTTTGGGTCTACTTGAAAGTATTGCTTTTATTCTTCAAACTAATCATAGCATCGAAACTACCCATATAGATTCAAATCTACTTGTAAGATATTTAATCCCATCACTAAATATTATCTTTGAAAAATTTACTAAAATAATTTAGTTTTTTTAATTAGAATGAGACAGATAACTTTGAGATATTGCGTTTTGTACCGCTAATTTAAGCTTATCACTTATTCGACCGATTTTTGAAAATCTTTTGGATTAATTTCCACGGTACATACATCGCGCTATCTAATTATGCGAAGATCGCCGAGTCACGGAGCGAGCAACGGTAGGACTCCGGAGCCACAAGCCATACCTCCGTGCAAGCCGCCGCCCTCTCGACCGCCGGTCACGCCGGGCAGTATCGATGAACCATCTGGTGGGACCATCGGCGCCGGTAGCAGCTCCGCCAACAATAGCACTAATGCTAGCAACAATAACAACAGCAGCAGCATTGCCGGAACGCCGACCAATACTGCAAGCATCTTAGCGACTCCGACCGCGCGTCAATCGAAATCGGTGAGACAATAAATCGACGTATTGGCGAACGTTTTCGATTATTGATCGGTTTTTTATGCAATTCGTGTATCAATCTGCTATCGAATTGCAACGTTGTTCGCGTCTGTCACATAAAATCTTTCCCAATGCTTCAATGTTGTTGTCGCATGTAGAAATACATCGTGAAAGATTAATAACATTTCGGCAGTTCCTTTTAGCCGTCCCGACGTCTTTTGCCGATATTGTTTTCTCAGAGCGTCAGTCCAGGGTTTACCTGAACTGGACTTGAGGTAAACTTTACTGTAGAACGCGCTCACGTGTACACGTCGCAGCCCCAAGATTGATTAGGATGCGGAGTGATTATCGGATTAGGTGAGACGCAAAGAGAATCGTTTCGTCTGCCTTTCAGATCCGTCCATCGGGCACGTTGCCCGCGGTGCTGGCCGGAGGGCGAAGGGTGCAGCCACCCATGCCCCCGGTACCACCTCCGGCGATGACGTCCCTTCACAGCAGCAACGACAGCGGCTTCTCCAACGAGCCCCCAGTACAGCCCGATGTCGATTACAGCGACGACGAGGCGTTGAGGTAAGTCCAAAATCTACCCCAGGCTGCAAAGTCATCCCTGCTCTTCGCGTAACATTAGTTAGACTCCCCAATGTACTTCATATAAACTGCAAGCTACGTAATTTATGTAAAGAGAAAACGAGCTTATATTACTTACGTGCATGAGAAAAAAGACGCAATTCTATTAATCCTGTGTTGAAAACAATGTTGGACCAATAAATCGATCGTGGTATCACTCACGGTAATATGGAGATTGCGGGCAAATAAATCGTAAATTTAAGTAATCCATATATTTAATAAAGACAGAGTCTTTTCTTTTCGTAACTTGTGGCTCGAATCGTTTTAGCCAAAGAGAGTTTACGTAGCTGACACGGGGTCTACATGATCAAACCGAAAAAATTTCGCTGAATTCACATCTGGTGGAACATGGACGCGAAAATAATCTCTTCATTTACTTTTGACAACATACACATAGTAATTGATCTCCTAGCAAGTCCGTGTAACATCGGATATTGACCTCAGCATAATTGAGCCGGTTTCGACCCTTGGTTTACATCAGTTACGCGTAGACTGCCATTATTCATCCACAGACGTCCGATACCAGGCAAATCACTTATTACTTGGTACTTTAGGCCCTTTGATACCTTCACTCTCCGAACATCGCGCCCTGATAACTAGCCGATAAGCGCAACCCCCGCTTTGTCCTATTCAGCGTGATTGAAGCTTTGTATCATTGTAGCTCCGCTGTTGCGCTATCTACTGCCTCCCTGTAATTAGTGCGATTTTCACCCCGCTTTCACCGTCTCCACCCTCGGCACTCAATTGGATTGGTTTGCGACGCTATTGTGAGAAATAAAAATTCGACGGTGGCGGATGCTGTAGCCACACGCGCGTTTTACATTCACACACATCTCCGGCATTGAAAAAACTGTGATTAATTTCGAATAAAGCGAAATCGAATTGTCACAATTCTTCAATACCGGTCTTGAATAGAATTTACTTTCCTTGCTTGCTGATTGCTGCGCGCATGACTGATTGTGCGATATGACATTATTTAAAATCCAAGTCAAAATGTGTTTAGATATTTACTCGGCTTGTGCGGCTGTCAATGTGATTATCTTTAAAAGATCTGTTATTAGAAGTTTTGTAAAATTTACGATAGCAGATTAACATTAATATTGGTTATAGAATATAATCGATATATAATAGATCTTTTGACATTTCTCAAGTTGAATTTAAATATCGTAAATATGCATACATATATAATCGCCTTTTTTACTTCTTTCTTTTTCGCTATTTAAATAAATGAGCTTTTCGTATACGTTTGACTTTATTATGACTGTTGTTATATATTTATTGTATAATCTTTATTTGTTTCAATGTTGCATGTTGCATGGATACCAAATAATTCATCTTCCTATGTCATATTTTCCATCATCTACGACTTCGCTATACGTGTACTTTGCTCATTTTTCATTTAAAAAGAAAAAATTTTTAATTACCCTGCGATTCAATTTACTTTAATATCTACCTTTAATAACTTGTTTACAACGAAAGCAACTATAAACAAATTATTTTTATTTTTTCTGGACTGAACTTTTCTTCAGCCGCTCATCTTCCACTCGGAAAATTAGTAATCTCTGTTTCTTCGAAATTGTCTCTCCTTCTTGTAGATACCGCATGCGCTATCGTGGTCGCTGGAAATAAACCGCCGTGGTGGTGGTCCTCCGCATCTCCAACAGCCTCCCCCTTTCTAATCCCTTTCTTCCGCATTTCTTTTTCTCTTTTTTATTAACCGCGCCGCGCACGCAGACGGCGCCGGAAGCCGCGAACCGGAGGAGATCGTTCTTCCCCGAAGGACGAGAAGCAGTCGAAGGAGTGGGAGAATGACTCCTGGAAAACGATCCCACGCGATGAGAAGTCTTGGCAGCTGTATCGCACAGCGATGGATCTCTGGGCGGAGTCTAAGGCCAACCAGGTAGGCGAAGACTCGAAGAAGTACTTCGAAATGGAGAATGGCGATTTTACGTTGGAGAACGGCGATATGAAGAAAAGGAAGAACAAGAAAACTGCGCAAGCACCGAATGAACGTCCCAGCCCGAATCAGCGCACCAAGATGATGGACGAGCGAAGTATCCCCGCCGCTACTCGTCGTGGTGATCAGCGACGCGTCGACAAGCGGACGCAAGCGGAAACTGAGGAAGACGAGCTCGAGGACGAGGAGGAATTTGGCGGTGAGTACCATAGCAACAACAAGTTCTACACAGATAATCAAGAAACTCAACAGGAGCGAAGAGGCACTTTTGAAGCGGAGAAATACGCCAAGTCCACGAGCTCGTCGTCAGACTCCGACGACGAGAGCACCATCACCATACCGGAGCCGGGCCGCAAGGTAGAACATATAGCGCAGAAGCTCGAGCAGACCGCGCAGAAGTATGCGCGCGAGCATAGCCCACCCAAGTTCCTCGAGCGCCGCGAGAGATCCACGACAGAGTACAAGAGCCTCGAGAGAGAAACGCGCGAGACGGCTCTTTCGCGCGATCGTCGCGAGAGACCCGCTATGGAATACAAAAGTCTGGAGCGCGGTCGAGACGGCGGCCAGAGAAACTTGGAGCAGGCTCGTCGCGACGACAAGGCGCGCTTACGAGATGACAAGCGCGTGCGGGACGATAAGCACTCATTCGAGCGGGGTTCCCGCGAGGACAAGCCGAACTTCGAGCGCACGAGAGAGGACAAACAGAGCTTTGAGCGCTCGAGGGAGGAGAAGCAAAACTTGGAGCGCACAAGGGAGGACAAACAAGGCTTTGAACGCTCGAGGGAGGATAAGCAAGTATTCGATCTCCCGAGAGAAGACAAACAGGGTTTCCAGCGGCCACGCGAGAACACGCAATCGTACGAGCGAGCCCACGCTCGCTCCAGAAACGAGCAAGAGCGCGCGTATATGGAACAGCGGAAGGAAGTAATGGGTTACGAACGAACGTTCGAGAAGAACCGCAACAAGACGGTCGAGCGACTGTCCAGCCGACGATTCGAGCGACCACGGCCACCGTCGCAAGAGGCTCCGGAACGGCCCTCGATGGGGCCTTATCGAGAGCGTAGATACTCCGATAAGGAGGAGGCGATTTACGGAGAGACCGGCCGATACGGAGTAGGCTCGCTCGAGAGGGATCGCGGTTACGAATCAAATTTCGAGACAAAGTTGGAGAGGACAAAGGCGATCGAAAGACACGGTTACCACTCGGGCCTATACGGTCCGGGTCTTCAGAAACGAAACGCCGTACCGAGGATCAATGAACGAAGTAACGGCGACACCAATAATAATACGCTGAAAGTTGAGCGGAAACCTGTATCGCCGCGACAGGCGACCGCTATGAGCCATCTCTCGCAAACCGGAAGAGCCTACGATGAGTCGAAGAGCCCGAAGCTCGTGAAACGGACCAAGTCCTTTTGGAAATTCCGCCGCGACTCGGAGGTGCTGGAGGGTATGGCGCTCTGGCAACATCGCTCGCTCGTGGACATCCCGAAGATGATCCGGAAGGAGGACAAGACGGCGGAGAACGAGGAGCGGCAGAGAAACTCCGAGGGCGGTAGCCCAAATTCAAGCCTGGGTAACAGCGAGGGCACCATCACGAACGAGCACCGGCATGAGGAACCCAAGCCGGCCGAGAGAAGCCATGTGCCTGACAAGACGGATTACTTCGAGGACTTCCCAACACCAGCGGAACGGTCCAAGATCACGGAAAGATCAGAATATAGGATGCAGCAGCAGCAGCAAAAGGAGCTTACGTATTTTGTCGGAAACGTATCGCGAAAGGCAATTATCGAGAAGGAACGAAGGCGTAGCCTTGAGGCGAAGCGGAACATGATTGTAGCTGAGCTGAAGGAGAACAACGAGAACAAGCGGCAAGGAATGACGCGCGGTAGGAGAAACTACGACGAGGAAGACGCGACGTTGAATTTCAGCGAGACTGAGGCCTCCGATGAGGAGTCTACATACAGTTGTATCGTCGTGAAGGACCAGAGCATACTGGAAAAGACGTTGCTACCAAGGACCAAGCTGAGAAGAGAGTCCGACCGAGATAGAAATAACTGCGGGCCCTGGTACGATCTCTGGGGCATGGACGCATCCGTCAATAAGAAAAAGAAGAAGCAGAAGCAGCAGTAAGTGAAACGACAGTTATGAAGAAAATGCTGAAGCTGAATATATATATTGAGCTTAAAAAAATGACGAGGAGTCGATGTATCTTTTAAGAGATGAAGACATTGAACACAATGTAGCAAAGACAAAAAAAGGAAGATTGGATATAATCAAGAAGAAAAACCAATTAGCCTCATATTGCCATGTGAAAAACGACGAGGAAGAGGAGGCTCCCACTGCATACAATTTTATTTTAATTTTTCGTTAGTTTAGATGTACCCATAAAATGCGAGCGAGAGCTAACTGATTCAAACCTGAATCAGCGAACGAACAATTGTTACCATTTTCGTTATTAGTTTCACCTCAATTCTCCCAAGTTCTGCCAGTTATCTTGCCACCTGCCCATGAGCAAACTCTCGAATGATCGATTCAACATCCTATTGTGACGTTTACATTGGCTAATCCCTTCCTAGTGCTTTGTGTTGTCTTCAATGATTGGCTGTTGATGTTGTAGGAGCTTGCAGCATCGTCGAAGAAGGCGTTCGATACACTTTTGCGACGACTTCTAGGCGACTTTTCTCTTCGAAACAGAGCGAGCGACTTTGCTGGATGATACATCGCCATCGTGGCTCGTGTTGTTGTTCATCACTGCTGCACGCGTTAGCTTCCTTCGGTTATCGCTGGCATAGTACAAGTTATTTGCTAGATTATTCGCAACTGTTTCAAACTTTTGCCACTTTTTAGTTTTATCAGTCGCTTTAATTGTATTGATTTAATGTTGCACGTATTTTCTGGATATATATTCAGAATTCAAGAAAGCTTTTGATTAAATATTATTTGTATAACCGTCGAAGAACAAACTGAAAGACGGCGGCCGGATTAATTTTAATCGACATTTCTCAGATATAATTTATTTATAAATATTTGTGGACTTACGAATTTCAGATGACCTGGTTGTTATCAGATTAATCGATTTCAATTGAATTTGCTTGTTCTATAAAAGACATCAAATAATATTCCAAAATAAACGGGGTAATAAAAAGTCTTTAATGCGTACACTCTAGAGGAAGAAAGTTACTCATTACAAAATTTCTTAGACGCTCGTCGAAAAATCCAGTTCGTGATCGTATTCGTGATCGTCCAACAATTACGAATGTGCATTCCGAGCCCTGATTAACTGTAATTAACGCCTTTCAGGACTAACATATTCGCGACTGTGAAGCTGCGAAAGACGAAGACTAACGACCGCTCGGCACCAGCGCTCTCATGAGACAAGCTTTTTTCCTAGATCACGCGTCTCTTGCGATCCAGTAGCGATCCCATAATGCGGAAACGGGTGTGTCTCTCTCGTTGAACAAGTTCCTTCGTCGCGCAGCTCTCCACGCGAGACGAGAATCGACTGCCACGCGATTATATCTGTCCATGAATCCCTCTCAAAGTGAAAATACGGCGCTAACCCTTTCCGTATCCGTATGCCATATATGGTATATTGCATCTGCACTTTTTTTACAATTTCTCTCGAGTATAACACCCATTTAGGAACCACCGCATGTGGAAGTGGAACGACATATGGAGGCAGCTTGCAGGTTTCCGACGTTAAATAAAGCGTTGCGGCACGGTTCTACAGCGCCAAACGAAGGATTAGCACTATAACAATGTTAGTTTTATACTATTAAATAAAAAATCAGCACCGCAAGTGCGGTTCTACGGTAAAATAAAGGAGACAGCTAAGTTAACTACGAAACGAGTTTTTCCACTGTTAACTATACATGTTAACACGATTCTATAAGTGTCGAATGAAAAACTCACGCAGTAAAAGTGGATCGAGTCCGTTCATATAGTTCCACATAAAATCAAACTTGAAATAGACCTATATATGAATTACGGACTTGCTTTATTCTTATTCTCAAGTCTTTTAATATAGCAGCAAGTAGAGCTCTTCCGATAACTCGTACAACGAGTTAGAAATAAGTGAAGAGAAATCATTGAAACTTCTACATTTACTGCTCTATCAATGTATTATATTTAATATTCTACTTAATATACACTTAATATTTGGTACTGAAAGGGTTAATGTCCGAGAATTTGATATATTTAGATTTTTTGTGTGCAACACGTCATTTTTAAACCCGCGTTTTTAAACGTTTTTCAATATGCATTTTAAAGTACATATATATAGATTAAGAGTATGTTAAAATAATATATTCCAGTGTGTAATTTAGGCGCGAAACGAAAAAAAGACGTCCAGTTTGGAATGGAGATGGGTTTTAAGGTAACCACTTTTTGTAATTTAAAGTAGTTAAGAATTCGAAGAAAACGCAAAAAAGCGACAGATGTTAATATATTATGAATAATATATTATAATTATACACGTTATATATATATATATATATAAGCAATCGCGCGCTCGAATTTGATTTCGGCGGTTTGGGTTAGGCTAGACTAAAATAAAGCTGTTGTAATAAGAATCATGTATACATACGCATATACGTTATATATATTATATATATTATTGTTATTATATACATCAGTTTTTTAACGTACGTTTGTTTTTTCTCGTTCCCTTCTTCCTCTCTTTTATGCCTGTATATTCTTTCCACTTTGAACTCGGGTGTTGCAGCGACAGGTCAGTATGAGCTTTTTATTATATTATTTTGAAAACGAGATCTATACAACTTCTATCTCAAGAAAAAAAATTAAAGTTTTATTTAAGAAATTAGCTTTTAAAATTTATTGAAAACAATGACATCTATGCCATAATAACTCATCGGAATCATGTATCTCCCTTTAGACTATATAACTTTATCTGAAACATTTTTCCGTATCTTTTATATTTTTCGAGGTATTTACCTGCGTCGATTAAAATAACTTACCCTGTGTATATATATGATAAATTATTAATGTGACTATAATTTCGTGTAATCATTACTTTTCGGACTTTTATTTGATTTCGTAGATAAAATCAAGTGCTGCAGACAACACCGAAACGATTTTAAACCATTTGATATTTTCCACATCACTCTGGTAACTTCTATTCTATCGGCAAGACTCCGGCACGTAATCCCAGAATTAAGTCACCCCCATAATTCTTCGTAGGAATATTTTAGGAGGAAATCCCGCGATCCGTCAGAAGATTAGTCCTTGACGACTTTTCAGCGGAGAGGTCCGCATTTGAATATCCACCATCCCTTACAGAGGTAAGTGTTCTCCGCTCATAATGGTGGCGCATTTATTTAAATTAATCGCGGAGCGTTTAAGGGTGGCGATCAACGAACGCTTTCATGAGTTCCCGGAGGAAGGCGAGGATCGGGTCGGTTTAGACCAGGCGCTGCGTTTTTTCATTGCTCTCTTTCTTTTTTCTCCCCCCCCCCCTCCCCCCGGCGCCTTTTCAGACTGCTTAAAGCGTCTGAAAGTTGTATACATATATAGACGCCATTATGCGGTAATTATCGAAAAATCGAAGGTGTCGGCCACGCGGGAATTAGCGTAACGGCAAGATTTGTTGTATATACATACATTTATCGGTTTTTATATTATCTAACTTTGTTCAAACAGATTTTCTTTGCTCTCGCCTTATAAGATAGAAGACCCAAGTTACATTAAAGGAAATTTGCTTGTATAAGAATATTCAAGTTACATTTATTTAATTTCCAAGTACGGCTATTTTTTATTTTTTATTTGAAACGTTTATATTTTTCGTGTAATCAAACTTAATACAAACTTAATACATTATATATACTTTCTTAGTCAAAATAGTCTCAATCTACTTCAATGCACTTTTTCCAACGCGATTTGTATCGCGTCTTCAATGCCCTTCTAGAGAACGAAAATCAATGAATTCTCTGAAAGCAGTTTTTTACATCACCATCTCTTTCAAATAATTTTTTCTTCAAAAAGCCGTTCAGATCCTTGAAAAAATGATAATCTGTGAGCGACAGATCAGGTCAGAAAAATAAGGAGGATATGAGAGAATTTCACACTTCAATTTTGCTAATTGTTTTACAGGTTTTGCAATGTGTGGTCGAGCATTATCGCGTGAAGCAGTAACACCCTGTATCTGTTAAGCAATGTTGGTTGCTGAATGCCGTAAGTTTTTTGTATATATAAATAGGGAGTTTTTGTAATACTGTCTTTCAGATACGGTAAACGTTATCTGAATTGTTCAGATACATTCACTCTGTATCTGAACAATTCAGATACGAAAGACGGTATTGCAAAAACTCCCTAATATCAACTTCTCGACAGTATTTATCAGCATTGATAATTTGACCTTGTTTTAAGTTTTAAGGACGAAAAATAAATGACACTCTTTGCTGACCACTATACAGATACCAAAATCTTACGCGGATGCACTCAGAAAAAAAAATTGTTGCTGTAACTATATAAATGTGAACAAATTTTTTTATGGATTATAAAAATCATAATACTATAGTGAATTAAAATATATAAATATTGTCAGACTTATTGAATAACATGATTAATGCAATTAGATTTATAACGTTAGTTGTTGTTCTATGACATTATTGTCTACACTATATTTTTATGGTCATTATTGTGAAGACATTTAGTTGCTTGAAATATAATGTTAAGGTATTACGAACAGTTGAAATTTACCTCTCAAAACTATTGGTAACTATTGGTCTTCGGGCGTTCCCTAACTGTCTATATACAGAAAAAAGAATATTCTTATTTAGAGAATATCTTTATTTCTGACATGTAAATTCTATAACGAGGTTTTGAAACCAAATTTGCCTTTTGCTTTGCAGGGAGGTCTGCTTTTATATACGCGGCTGGATGTATTTTAAATGCGAAAAAGCTCTTCTCGCCATGCGCTGCCGAGTGACGTTGTTGTGAACGTTGTTGGGCTACGCCGATAGTAACACTTTCCATTATTATAAGATTTCGTGCAACTATTATTTATTAGTTCTTATAAATCTTATAATATTTGCTTTCCATTTACATAAAAACTCAGATAATTCTCACTTTTAACGTCATAACTCAGTTAAATGCACGTTCTTTTTGCGTGCTGAATCTCACTTGCCAGCATGTGAGATTCAACTGTTCGTAATACCTTAACATTATATTTCAAGCAACTAAATGTCTTCACAATAATGACCATAAAAATATAGTGTAGGCAATAATGTCAAAGAACAACAACTATAACGTTATAAAATCTAATTGCATTAATCATGTTATTTAATAAATCTGACAATATTTATATATTTCAATTCACTATAGTATTATGATTTATATATTCTATAATCCATAAAAAAAGTTGATGTGCTATTTGTTCACATTTATATAGTTACAGCAACAATTTTTTTCTCTGAGTGTATCAATACTCATAGCTCTTACTATTTTTTACCCATATTCAAACTTTTACTTACAATTTGATAGGGTCACAGAACATGTCAAAAATTAGAAATAAACTTTTTACATGCTATTTAGCCGCTCAGTGAGCGATTATAATATTGAATATACTCAATGAATGTATCTATTAACATGACCGTTTTTTCGCTTGTTAACGGGAAATATAATTTTATAAATTTGACAATATAAATTCGAACCATCTAGATTTGAAATTTTCGAATAGTTCGCATATTCAAATAATAGAAATTCGAATTCGAATAGTTACGCATCTCTAATGTATGTATGTACACCGGGGAGCAAAAATAAGGGACAATAACCCCTACCCCGCCTACATATGTACTGTCTTGTACACACATATCAGTAAATTACTTCCCTTAACACTGATTAGAAACTGGCTATATTTCTCAAACCATTTTTGTTCATAATTTTTAAATAAGCAATGAACCGCCGATTAAGTTATAAGGAAAAGTTACTCAGGGTCATGACCTTGACAACATATTCCAAAATTGTGGAAACTGGGAGTGGCTTCCTAATACTAAATATTTACCGCATTTTTTCTCATTTTTATGACGGTATCTTAGAAAATACCCAAATTCTATTAACAGTTTCGCGGATTCAGGGGGCAAGAATACATAAAATTTACCTCCTCTCAATTGATTTCTCGTATAGGCCCTAATTGTGGAGTTTTACCAAGAACAATAGTAAAGAAAGGTTTTCGCGTATAGGTAAAATATTTTATTAGTTTTCATTAAAACTTTTATATAATAATATAATTAATATTGCTTCATGTTAATTTGCTTAACATTTTTTTCTTGTAATTTTTTTATTAATAAAACAAAAATTATTTTAAATAACGTAGGTAATGCAAATAATGTGCTCTTGCTGCGACTGTCGCTGCCGGACATTAAACATCAAGCAATATGGCAAGGCAACGCGCGTCTCCTGCAGCGTATATTAAGCCCGTTTACGATTTCGAATCAATATGACGCGCGCGCGCGTGTGTATAAGCGCGCACGTGTGCGTGTATTTGCGTTACTTTGGACCGCCAAATTCCACAAACAGCTTTTTGGCTTATGGAATGCGCCAAAGCCGAGCATATTTGCCAAGCGGTTAATTATCATCTGCGGTTGCCCATCCTCTGAAATCCCTTCATGAACCACCCTGCAGGACGAGCGCTTTATATCTGCCTGAAAGAAAGATTAGTGGCAGATAAATTGACACTGTTTCAGTAGAATATTTTTCTTTTCGAAGTCATTTATAATCAAGTAAAAAGTGATAAATAAATGTAGAAATAATTAAATTTCAATGAAGCGATATAAACCTCTTTCTGAAGATAATTCTGGTCTTGACTAAATGAAACGAGGTATATTTTGTCAATAACGTTATTACATACCGCTAATTAAGAGTGTAGGCGCATATCAGTACAATACATACACTTATTATTATATTTTTCGTTTAAAACGAGTACTTAGGTGCCGTGCCGCACCAATCTTGAAGAAATACTAAAATGTCATTTAGCGGCGAATCCGGGGGTGCCTGTCGGGCCGTATTGATCAACTTGGTCCAGTCGTTGCGATCAGCTACGCGGTTGGTTTCCTCAAATCTGACAACTGGGCCTCGCACTGGATATCCCGTAATCACGCATTGCTGAACAGGCGCGCTAGAGTTTGTCGGCGACGTCAGAGAACCTACATATACGCCTCTTTGGTCGACCGGTAGACCTTGTTCGATCTTTTGGTCCATAGACACAGCCAGCACCCATTCTCTTGCCTCCTCACGTTGATCCGTCGCGACGCCAAGTTTTTCTGGAAGTGGAACTTCCAGCGGAAAGTCGGTGACACGTAGATCGTCCACATCTAAGACATTGCCGTCGCCTTCCTCTTCGATACACTCTTCCAGATCGAGAAAATGATTAAGAAAAACGAAGGCTTCGCTCAGAAGACCGGCGGTACGAGCTGCAATACCGGCTTCATAGTAGTATCTGTCGGCGTGAAGGATGTCAGTGTGTCGCAGAAGACTAACCGATGCCTTAACCACAACGCCAGAAAGCGCCGGAAACGGACGGCAGCCGTGCTTCACCGCAGAAAGATGTGCGGCCTCCAGAAGACGTTCAAATCTCTCACGAGAAGACGATGAGCGGTAGAGACCGTGTAAAACGTCACGGAGTTGGGCTAGATATCTGGAATTAGTTATGTCGCGAATAATAAATGAAGAGATGCAAAAGATAAAAGCGTGAGACGAACGAGCAATATCAATCTCTCCTAATATCAGGTTAAATATAAAAAATGAAGAAAATAAAGGTCTTCTCAGTTTTGGGAGTAAATACAGAAGGGATCCAGGTAGAACAGAAAGTCAATAAATAAGTCAAAAGACGTCAAAATGATGGTAAAATGATAGTAAAATGACAAAAAATCGTCATTTTGTTGTCATTTTGACATTATTTTGACTTTATTGTGACTTGCTGTTCTACCTGTGGGGATATTTCAATTTTAATAAAAGATTAGTTTGTAAAAAGACATTTTGTATCAAAACATTTCCAACTAATGACGGACATTTGAATAATGGAGATTGATAAATAGGAATAAATGACACGCTATATTTTCGATAAATCCCCTCATCAGCCCTAAATATATGTATAATACCTGTACTCCTGCTGCGTTGCATTCAGGATGCTCTCTGCCAATTGCAAATACAGATTAAAGTTCTGCGAGATTGCGGGTGCGCCGTACTGAGCGTAAAGTTGCAATGCTTGCAGCGCGGCATCGTTCTTCAGCAATTGTGCGGCACGCTGTGCCACAAATCTCTGCAGTACCTCCAGACTTTGCGAACTCGCGGCGTCGAAAACTTGACTCCACTGACCTTTGCGCGCCATCACCTCGAGGGCAGCGTTACCGTCCACTTCCGCCAGCCGTTCCATTTCACCTTCGTTTGTCATGGCGTCTCGATATTTCTCTTCTAGATATGGCTCAAGATCGGGAGCAAGCTCACGGACGATTCGTCGTGCGCGATCCCACTCGCCAACCGCCACTAGCGAACTCACCGCATCTTTCAACCGATCCGCTTGAAGAAACACCTGCAGCGATAGGAGACATCATGAATTTGAAGCATTCAATTTTTTAGCATTTTGGCTTTGTCGTTTTACGTTAAATCTTCATCCAGATATAGGCGGAATTACGATGAACTTAACGTAACGGAACGCGACGGGACGCGAAGTAACGTGAAACCTATAAACACATTGTTTTTATATGCGGCTGATTACGATCGACTTTACGTAACGTGACGTAAAGTACTAAAAAACAATGTATTTAGGTTTCACATTACTTCGCGTCCCGTCGCGTTCCGTTACGTTAAGTTCATCGTAATTCCGCCTTTTCTTAATCCAGTAAGTAATGGACGTATTAAGTAAAGTGCAGCTTGATATTAATCTTTACTTAAAGCATATTTGAACCAATAATATAATAAATAACAATACCTAACGATGAAACTGAATTAGTTCTAAATAAAATATAAAAAATAAAATATAAAAAAATAATAAAAGAAGTAAAATATAAAATAATAGTGTATTAAAAGCGAGGACTAAAAACGAATTACAATAAATCTAACAAGGGGCCACATCAAAGTTAAAAGTAAAATTAAAAAATTCATGAAAAACATTAGGGTAAAACTCGACAATTAGAACCTGTACGAGAAATCAATTGAGGAGGTAAATTTTATGTATTTTTGCCCCCTGAATCCAAAACGGTTGATAAAATTTGGTGGTCGCTTATATTTTCTAAGATATCGTTATGAAAATGATAAAAAATCCGGTATTTAGTATCAGAAAGCTACTCCCAATTTTCATAATTTTGAAATATGTTATCAAAGTCATCGCATTGAGTAATGTTGTGAAGGTTTTAGTTGGGAGTTGCTTATTAAAAAATTAGATAATTTTTTAGAAAAACTTATACAACTGCTCACCTCCAATATTGATAAAATTATGCTCATTGGATACGTTTTTGTACGAAACGAAAGAATGTTGTGTGGATGGAAAAGTGTATGCGTGGATGCAGTGGGTTCCGCCCCCCCCCCTCTCTGCGAGATGCTCCATCTCCAAAAAACTATAACCTAACCCAACCCAATTGTTATGTGGGTGGAAAAGTGTATGTGTATGTGTGATCATACATGTTTGGTCCATCCACACAACAATTGGGTTGGGTTAGGTTAGTTTTTCTAGAGGTGCTGGAGTCCCCCGCAGGTTGCCGGGACCCACTGTCTATATGTATATGGTATCATAGAATTACATACTATTCATTATATTTTCTTTTTTAATAACTTTTTAATATAAGTAACGACTCTCAACTTTTATCAACAGTTTTGGATTCAAGGGGAAAGAATACATAAAATTTACCTTTTCCCAATTGATTTCTCGTATAGGCCCTTAATTATCGAGTTTTACAAAAAATTAGAGTGTAGTAAGTGTAGTAACGCTACATTAAAGTTAAAATAACAAAAAAATAAAAAAATAAATAAGAAAAATTACAGTGTAGTAACTATAATTTTTATTTACTACACTCTAATTTTTTTTATTCAAAACGTTCCGTTAAGAAGGTTCGGGTGCTTCATCGGGGGCAGTAGTGGGACGCGGGGGTCCAGTGCGTGCTGCTGCTTCTGTCAAGCGTTAACCTTAAAAATGACTGATAAACAATACAGATGAAAAGGAAAGTTTGTGAGTAAAAAAAAATAAGTATGGAAATCAGGACTGAAAATAACAGAACTTTTAATGACATGCACAATTTATCAAAAACTTTTATATTATCAAACACATCGCAACTTCTATTCAAATGCCCCGCCGTACAACCTCATCTACCATACTCGCGTTTACGCTGTTGTCATTATTTGCTTGCGTTCATTTCTAGCAAACGAAAAATCAAGCAATTTATACGCTTTAATAATTAATTTTTCTACGAAATGTGCGATAACCTACCCCTTTCTTTCTTTCACTCATTTATTTGTAAATTATTAAGTTACATATGCATATTTTTCTTTCCTTATCATTTGCATTTTTTCTTGCATTATTTCTCATTCTGAAGGTGAGCAATATGTCATTTCCCATAAGAACCTATGCTAAAAAGTATAATTTTTGGAATCGATTTTTTTCAAAACATGAAAAATTCCCAAAAAATTCACATAATTCTATTTTGCATTCCAGAACAATATATTAAAATTTCATGAAGTTGGCTGCATTTTTTTGTAGCATTGACCTCCTTAACTTCTTTTGACTAGATGATAATAAATCAAATTATGGGTGCAATCCACTTGGCGCTCCAAAAGCTCTTGAAAACATTTCATCCTTGTTATTTATCAAATGTTAAACAAAAACAAAATGATACTCTGAAGCGTTTGAAAAGTTTAGTGGATCACACCTTATATATAATACGTAATATCCTTTTCCGCTCGTTCATTGTCCTATGATCTTTCCATTTTGGATCATTATTTATAAGAGGGAAAAATTACCTGAGCGGCGAGCGCATGTTCACCAACGGAAAATAAACGTGCACCTAAGTCACCGCCGATTTCCGCCGCCGTTTCGGGATCCGCCTGATGCAAAAGAATGTCAGCTGCACGAATGAGATATGATCTTGGTGCCTGCGGATTCAAGATTAGGGTGTCCAGGGCAGATCGTACTTCTCCGAGATCAAGCCACTTCCGAGCTTCCTCCAATGCATTTGCCCCGTCCAGTCCCGCACTCCTTTGACCTAACTCTCTGCGTAGTGCCGCCTCCTGACTGGGCAAATATTCTCGACACACTCGCAATGCCTCGGACCACATTCCGGCTGTCTGAAATTTTTACAATTAATACAATTAGACAGAAGATATAGAAGTATCCACAGAAATCCGAAGGAAAGGCCAACCTTATAATGTTCTATTATCATTTCTGGCTTGTGGGCCCTCAGGAGAAGAGCCTCTGCTGTAGCGTAATCCTGGCCCTCGGCGGCCTCAGCGGCTCGAGCGATCAAGACCTGCGCCACAGCTTCCTGGCTGTGCGATCGTGCCACGTCCTCGGCGGACTCCCAGTCGCGGCTGTGGATGTACATCTGTACCGCCTCCATAGTCTTGCCGGCCTGTACGAATTCTTTCTCGGCCTCGGCGAAACGACCCTCATCCTCTAACGACATTGCATAGCGATAGTGAACCTCTTTCTTCTGATCCATTGTGCCGTATTTGGCGATTTCCAAAGCCCAGTCAAACAAGCTGGCTTCGCATGCTAATTGCAGGCAAGGTTCTAAGTAACCCAATCGCATAAGAAGTCTCGCGCCTAATTCCGGGGCTAATGTTCGGGCCCACATTAAAGCAACCTAAAAAGAAAGAAAGATCAAACTCAGTATTAACAAAAGAGGAATGAAAAGAACAACGCTTTTCAACGCTGCATAAATTTCAACCTGCTGTGCCGCTTTTTCTCCCGAAGCTTTTTTAGCAACTCTCAGCGCATCCTCCCACATGTTCGCAGATCTATAAGCTGTAACCGCTCCACGCCAATCACCAGCACCTAAGATAGAACACAATTTACGCACAAATTAAATAAATTGTAAAGTAAATATTTTATCTTTTTATGCGTCCAGTACTGAAAGAATACTTATACAGTGACAGGAAAATATTAGAACTATAAAGTCGATGTTCTACCGCAGTGATTTTTACGTGTACGGGGTAACCGCGGCCGAAGTCTACAAGAATCAAATTCATTTATTGAAGGAAAAAGGAATTATTTTTTTAAATAACTTATGTTTAAAACTTATGTGATTAGTTTAAGCCTGGAACCTACCTAGGAAGTGTTCTTCGGCTTCTCTTGGCTTGCCGACTGCATCTAGCTCTCTTGCCAGATGCATGTGAGTAGTTTGAAGTAGGTCTGGTCGGTGCTGTGCGACCAATCTGATCATGTCGCCTCGGTTTCCTGCTTTGCGATACATAGCAATTGCCGCGTCATGGTCGCCGATCGCGACGTAAAGAGACTCGGCGTGACGAAGCTCGCCGGTTTGTTGTAGACTTTCGGCGTGCTTTGCCAGTACCTCGTTGGCCTCGTTGCTTTTCATGTATTCTTTGGCTACTTGGTGCGCACGCATCCAGTCACCAGACTGAACGTAAATCTCCACAGCACGTTTGGCGTTTTCGGCGCGAATAAAAAGACTTTCCGCCAAGCTCCGTTCGCCAATCGACGAGAAGTATTCACCCAGCTTTTCACATTGCTGACGGATCTCCTGATCGTCATCCTCAATTACCTGAAAAGGAAATGTGAAAAAAGAATATAGTAAAAAAAGTCTATTGAAGAAATAGTATGAAACTAGACAAAAAATTGAGGAAATAGTATGAAACTGGAAAAATACCATAAGATATAAAGCGTGCATAGATATTAAGAATATTACTTCACCTGAATAATTTGTAAAGCCTTTCTCCACTGTCGCGCATTAATAGCGGCTTTCAGTGCTAGTACCGTCTCTCCTGCCTCGATAAAGTGATTGATAGCGGCATCATAGTGACCACTGGCTGACAGATGTTTTCCCCAATCCCTTTCTAATTCGACCACCAAAGTGGGATCGATTTTGCGTGCCAGGTCGAGAGCTCTCGCAAAGACACCGGCCTGCGCATAACATTTGATCGCCTCAGAACCGGCGCTAGTCTTCTCCAGTAGCTCTCCAGCGAGTTCCGTAAGGTCGGAAGCCTTGAGGCCGCTAATAACCTCCTCGACAATTCTTTCGTCCTCCAACAACTCGTTGTCGGCAAGTATCAATCTGGCGGCTCGTCCGGGTCGACGAGCTTCCAAATAAAGTTTGACAGCTCTCCTGGGATTCGTAGTCTCTATGATGGAGGCCGCGCGAGCCGCTTGACCGCTGTCCAATAGCCAAGCCAAGTGACGGTCTCGCAATTCTGATAAACCACTCCAATTACGACTCTGGGCCAAGTTTAGGGCATCCTCCCAGCGCCAATAGCGTTGATACATATCCAATGCCTTGTCTAGCTCATTCTGCTCCAAATAAATTGCCTCAGCGGTTTTTAAATCACCATTCAGTATAGCTAGCCGGGCCCAACAGTCCGGATTGGCTAGTGGTTCGTTGCCTGTCTCTTCGGCATACTTTTCACCAATCTTGAAATATGATAAAAAAGAAAACAAAAATATATTATGATTGTTGTCTCAAAGGAAACATAGATATTCATTACAAAAGAGAAAAAGACCCGACTATGAATACCGGCCTTAAAGAATTATATAAAATAAGAGAAATAGAGAGAAGACTGAAGAATATAACAAAATTAAAAATAGACCGATATCTTAAAATTTACAGAAGTTAAAGCTATTACAGACATTTTTCTAAAAATTAGGGACCTTTGATCGCGTATAAAGCTGAGTCTAATCAACCAAATCTTAAAGAATTATATATGAAATAGGGGTGGAAAAGACTGAAAAATATAATAAAATTAAAAATAAATCGATATTCCAAATTTGCGGAAATTAAAGCATAAACAAACATTTCTGCAAAAATTCAAAATTTTATTAAAAAGAACCCCTTGATTATTAGCAATTTTTATTACTTCTATTATATTCTTCAGTTTTTTCTACCCCTATTTCATATATAATTCGTTAAGATTTGGTTGATTAATTCTGGAGTTATAGAAATTTCGGTAAATTTGGCACATACACACACACATACACACAAAAACATATACATACATACAGACATTTTTTAAAATTGCAATTTTTCGACGTTTTAGAACATTCTGAACACATTCAGAAAAACAAAAAAAAATTTTTTTTTAACGAAAACAAAGCTTTCTCTATGAGGAAGCAAAACCTCGGCAGTCTCCTTTAGAAATCTCGCGCAAGCCACGTCGCCCATCGCAGCGTAGCACCTGGCAGCTATCGTGAGCTTCCTCTCGTTCATCGCGTTTCTGGCCACGTTCTCCCACATGGTTTCTACTTGCGGACCGTCGTTCATGTTCTCCAGAAACAGGACAACTCGGCCGAAATCATTGTCATGTAACGCGGTGCCGAATTCGATCAATCCTTCGTCTAATAGATATGCCATCTTAGTACCGTGCTCCTCCACCATCACAGACGTTCGACCATTCTCTCGGACAATATCAATCACATCGCCCTTGATCGGCGTCAGCGTAACCGCTTCTGGCGCGTCTACGTTGTACCAAACGGCTAGAGTTTGACCTGTCTGAGCGACGACAACGTCGCTACCAGTCACCCAGGATGCAAAGGACACCCCTGTCACTAACAAGACTCTGCAGTGCCGTAAAATAAAGAATGATTAGAATAAGAAAATCTGGTTTTAATACAATATCGTTTTAATATAAAATAATAAAAGTTACGATGCAAATAAAAATCGATATTTTTATTGCACTTTATTTGAGGTAAAATTACTGTAGTTATTCCAATAAATAAATTAACCATTTGATGATATTTTTATTAGTACTCGACGATTCTTTCGTCATTACTTTCATTAATAACACTCATTTCAAGATCGAGATTGCTTTCTATAATTTCGTAATTTCGCTTTCAACTTTTAATTGATAAGAAAGATCTTTTATATCAAATCAATACCAGGTACTCCACATAATTACCTTTCACCTTCGTCATCGCTTAACCAAAGGCGGCATCGCTTGTCACGTGACAACAGTCGATGACCCGCCTCGCTCAGTTCCAACCAGTCGACGCGGGCGTCATGGACGATCATATTGATGGTCGCGCCGGATAGTAGATCGATCACGCGAACGGTTCTTGGATCCAGTAGGTATGCCAGTTTCTTATTATCGCCGCCACCAGCCGAGGGTCGTTCGTTCACGCGCACGCTGACCACGTGCGGGTTCACCGCCTCCGTTCGCACGGAACCAAGTGCCTCGTTCTGGCCGTACTCAACGATCGTCAGCTCACCGGAGCAAAAGATCAGGCATACGACTGGATACTCGAAGAAAAACTTCTCGCCGCTGGACCGGTCTTCCCACGGGATCTCGCTGATCAGACCCAGCTCGATATCGCCGATCAACAACGTGTGTGCCGTTCGAGCCACTACGTTGTTGTCTCTGCGCCCTAGGACGCGCACATCTTCGATCTCCAGACCCGTCTGCGATCTGATGACGATGGGACGCTGCGAGGAGTCGCTCAGAGGTCGAATCACCACTTGGCTAGGACCCACGTAGGCGACCTCGTGACTACCGCGAACCACTGTGCGTCTGAAAAATAAGAAAGTTTGATATAAAAAGATCGCGATATACATCCAAAACAATTTTGATTGATATGGCGATAGATAATTAAACAGTCCTCTGTTCTTCATTAATAATTATTAATGAAGAACAGAATGACAGCAGTATGTCGAGAGATTGGTAACAGATTTGATCAGACATGTCAGTAGACTGACGTCAACTGCATCCGTATTCAGCTTATATGTTCTGCCAGCAGAGTCTGCTAACATAATCAGACAGCAAATTGGCAGCAAGAAGCCTGAGTGATTCCTATAGGATCTGTGCGATTTCTGTCCCCAATCTGCTGTCTGATTATGTTAGTAGACTCTGTTATATTTCTATTGGCGTTTTGCCGATATCATGTGATATATCAGAACTAGCGTCAAATCTGTAGCCGACAAAATCTGTAGTAGATACTTGGCAATAAGATCTGTCTTTTGATTATAGACTTGGCTGTCTGAAAAGTTATTCTGCAAAACAACATAAAATAAGATTATGCATTAATTATACATTCAAGGTGATATCAGTTTTTATGACAATCCTCAACGACAAAAAAAAACGACCAAGAAGTCAACTTTCACAAAATGCAAAGGGTATTAAAACGTCAGGAGTTTAATAGTTTCAAGTTTTAGTCACCTTAAAATAGTCTCAAACTGCTCGACGCCGCCGCATAATCCGCCGATTACCAGCTTCGAGCCGTCTCGTCTCCAGGAGAGTGCCGTGACGGTATAGAAATTGGGCAAGTCACGCACGTTAGTTTCTTCCCAGACACTCCTTCGTGGCGTCCAATCGAAGATGCGCACCTTGTCCCAGGAGCCTACGGCGACGCTCTGGCCACTCGGGCTACAGCAGGCCACAGTGATCTCCCTCTCTTGAGAGTCCCGGCTGAAGTCAAAGGTTTTAACCGGTTTGCCGTACGGGTCGTACATGGTTAGCCGTTTGTCGCAGCCTGCTGCCAGAATGTGCGACTGCGGCCACGCCAAGGCGTAAGCGGGCACTCCGTGGACACACACGCGTCCCGATGGCTCCGCGCCACCATCTTCGGCAATGTAATAGCGAATAATGCTGCCGTCAGCATGGCTCGACAAAAAGCCATTGCCGCGGACGCTGCGAATAGAGAAGAATCATTGACGTTAGGGAAATACTAACAAAGGAACTTCGCAAACCCGAAAATTCTGATTTTTGATAAAAATTTATACACATGTAGGGGAATTAAATAAATTAGGAATTTTCAGTTGCGGCCTAAAAACGATTCTAAGGGGTGAAATTACTCCTCGTATTGTATAACAGCTATTTATTTTTCTCGATATATTTCAAAAAATATTTGAGTAATAAAAAAATGGTTTATACAAACACTTTATACCAACGTTTTATAGTAAGAACATCTCTATTTAACCACATTAATATTTTAAAATAAATACAATGCCAGTGGTTGCCAGCCTGACAACCTCCAACAATCTGAACATCCGGGGTAAAAATTGGATTAACCCAATGTAAACCAGTAATAAATAATATATCAACACGATTAAATTGAGTGTTATTTTCTATTATTTTCATAATTTTATTTAAAGGTCTATCATCTATACGAATTTTTTTCTAGTACGTTTTCTTTTAAAGTTTGTGGGGGTGGATTAATCTTTACTGTATCTGCTATTTTTATAT